TGCTCTGCCCCTGGATGTTGTTATGTCCACTTCCGTAGAAGTCTTTAAAAAAAGGAAGACTGCTATAGTAGTGCTCACTCTAACACAAGTTAGCCGCTACTAGCCTACTTCAGACGAAGTAATTATAGTATTTCGTATAATATTACTTGCTTCGTATGAGTAGCATTTAATAATGAAATAGTTCTATCCACTTAATGTATCCCTGTTCATGCAGCTTGTTTATGTCGACCATTCATTTATAGTTGAGATCGTGGCGGCTTCTCCTGTTTTCGTCGCGTTCATGACGGCCGTGGAAATTGACAAAAGGGTATTGTAGTCGCAGCTCCGATTTTTCGGGAACTTGTCGTGGCTCCGCAGTGTAGTCCTCGTCCCCGTATGTCAATTCCGATCACTTCCGCCTCACCTGCCGCCAACCTTAATAGCTGCACCCTGGCATCCAATGGGCGACAGTTTTTTTCTCCAAAAAAACCATAAACTACCTTCAATCTTGTGAATTCTGAGCCATGCCTTAGGTGTATTTCCACTGTCTGCACTTTTTTTTCAGTTACACCTGCTGACTCTTGCTAACTGACATCATCCCATCGGATAATATTACTTGGAAAAAGTAAGTAGCCACCCACAATTACGCAAAATACCTTTTTTGAGATGTTCGCCATTATTGATCCATTTCTATACTACTGTGTACCGATAGGGAGTTCAAAGGCCTTCCCCTACATTCACCTTAATAAATTGACTCGACTTGACTTGACCATTTTAGTATTTACTGATGTTTGACTTCACCCTCTCCGCTGCATGACCGGTAAAGAAAAAAATTACTTTTTTTGGCTAATCGCAACGTAGGAACGCTGTTTCTTAATCAAACGATAATGGTAAAATTCCAACCAGCATTCTAGGATTCTAATGTGGAAATTTCGGAAAAAAACTTTACCGTTGGAGAAATGAAACGTTGTACCGGAAACGTTTTCCATTAGCAGGTTAACTTGCACGAACTTTGCTGCTGCGTACATTCATTACGTGCTGAAAACTAATCATTTAAAAATGAAATGATCATAACCTTGGTTAGGCTGAGTAACATTAATGTAAAAGGACACTAGAATGACCACTGCTGGTGCATTTGCCGTCTTAACTGCAACACTCCGAGGCTGAATTAACCTAGGCTCAAACTAGCCTGGTAATATGAAGAGCAGCATTTCAACCCATTTCATCATAATTTTCGCGTCTTAAAGGTTAAGTTTGGGCTTAGTTGGCTGATTATTATTAATTCACCAGAAGGAGGTAGTCCAGCCTCCTATGTCCCTCCGGCAAATTCGTCGTCCTCAGTCGTTTCTAGCTGCCTTTCGAGTGCTCGAAGGACTCACGATTAAACTGCAGGGCAGAGCGGATCGAAGGCGTTTCTTAAACAATCTGCGACACTGCAGCGACCGTATTAACATAGGAATCAGAAAGACTGGTCCCTTAGTGTATTTAAAAAAAGCGCACTTAATTTAAAAAAATGTCTGTTAGAGCGCAGACAAACCAACAATTATTCAACGATTTTTAAATGTAAATTTTTAAAGGCAAATATAAATTTTTATAGGTAAGTGTGCACTTCTTACTGTAGGCATCATGTGGAGTCGTGGATAACTTTCGGTTTTCACTGTTTTTCCTTTGAATAAGATGTTAATGGCATGATGTGATGTTGCCTTGACTTCTAATGTCTTCTCCTGATGTCCCGGATGACCCCTTCTTAACTCAACAATATATTATTTTTTTCCCATGACCATAAACCTCCCGAACCACTCAACATCAGGTCCCAATCCAACCACATCAAACACTGTTACCTATTAAGGCAGTTTTTTTCTCCTATAGTTTTTTTGGAGATCGAGGGCTCTCTGAAACTCCTCCACACGACTTTGGAGTTTTTTTTACTGCCGATGACAATTATTTTATAAGAGTTCACTTTTTATAATTATTATTTTTATTTTCACGATAACACTAAGTTTGTAACGACAGGGCCCCTGTGGCCTTAAATATACAAATTATTATTATTATTATTAGGTGGCAAAGTATTCTCTTTGTCTACATCTCACATGACATCAAAATGCAACATACATTAAATTGCGCATGTTTAAATATTAAAGAAAACACGACATGCACACCATTTCAGTAGTATAAACATTTATAACCGTACACTTCCGTAGCCTACCAATTAACTGACAAAAACCAAGAGCAGTTCAAATTAGTCATTTTACGCAAATTATTTGATAACAAGATAATACACAAGGTCACGACCCTACAAGATCACAGTCGATATGCCCCAAGCTCCTCTTAGGACAGTTTTACAACGATATGCCCCGTCAATTATGACCTAGGACATTGTGGCGAATACGTACGTATATAATTTTTTTTCTATGGAATTATTTTTCTCGCGTGAGAGATCGTTTGAAGTCGGAATTTATGAAGATTTTGTTTTCGCACCAATTTCTGCTGAAACGCAACTTCCTCAAACCAACAAATTCGCGGCTCTGAACATAAGACGTCGAAAAGATCAGATTATTCTCGAGGCCTTCAAAGGCTTAGTTGTTTACAAATATTCAAAACATTTTTACAAGTAATTTCAAAGTGCTTATTAACAATTTGCTACAGTATTGGTTAAGTTAACTCTGATTTTTAATCGTAAGTCATAGTCCGAAAATCATATAAAGTGGTTTTTGTGAACGTAATAATTAATACAGTTTGTCAAACAATGTTTAAATGCTTTTAACAACCGACTGCGGTAAAATCATATAGGCTGAGTTTTTCTAAATCTTCTCACATTTAAATCAAATTTCACTTAAAAATTATGAGAACGAAAATTAAAGCTCATCGTAAGATAGCTGCCCCAGACCCAAGCGGTGCCTGACCGCAACTACAATATGAAAATCTGTGTGAAAAATTTCAAATTTATTTTAGAATCCACTTTTGAAGTTAATATTATTGCTGGAGATTTTAATTGTCCTGAACTCGACTGGCTTTAAAACTATTGTCCACCTAGATTTCAGCCTTTGCTAGATAGCATTTATTTTTCTAATTTGTCTGAACAGGTTCGTTCCCCAACAAGACAGAATCATACCCTAGATCTGATTTTCAAAAACAGTATTGCTCTCCTCTTCGCTGC